AAATAGATAAAATCAATCTTAATTCTCAAATAGCATATTAGCTTATGTTAATCAAAATTTATTCTAGAATCTTAAGTTGGTACCGAATTAATAATTTATGTAATTAAACTTAATTATTTATATGCGTTGCTGCTACTGATTGAACTTCAAACTAATTTCAGCGAAGAAAATCACTATTATTACAAGCATTTCAATATATATTTGTATATATATAGCAGAAAAATGTCATCATCATCACATCAAGTTGTATCCATGTTGTCCTGATCAAGTTGTATTATATATATGTTCCTATATTATATTCGTTTTCCGGTAAATTAAAATTATATATATTGTCTAAATATTCTGTCCACCTCCAACTTGCAAATGATCGACAAATAAAAATGATCTGGATGTGCTGTAAGAATTTGAAGGTGTCCACGGCTCTAATTATTTGAACTCATGATTACCGACTATAATATGTTGAGTTATGTTAGTTATGTTTTAGTGTAGTGATATTTGGACAGAAAAGTTAGATAGAATTCCTTAACCGAATATATTTGGTTTTGGTCTACCAATATTATCTTGTACAAGAAAAACTAAATAAATAGACAACACATATGGTGGATGGAAAAAAAAAAATGGAAGTAAATTCAGAGGTTTAATTTGTTTAAATATGGCCGGTGATATAACACAATTGTAGACAATTGATTATGTAGATTTTAAATTATAATATTAGTGAAGTTTACTGCGTAATTATATATTAGTATATTGGTGATGAATTTAATAGAGAACTGCAGTTCTCATTGAAAAGGACAGAGTGAAAATGGAAAAACAAATTCATGAAGGGTTCGATAGGTTTGATTAAGCATGTTTTTTTTATTTCCATTCATCGTACCAAACTTTTCACATGAGTTGTGGCTATCAGGAGACACAAATTTTGACCTAAATTGGCTAAAGAAGACTTCTAATAATGCTTTAGAGACAATTTTAAGCTTTGTGCATCTAGAAAATATGCACGGTGTTTTCAAATCCTCGGTCTTCGCATCTGTTTTCAAGTTCATGGACGCAAGCACACGTTAATAATATCGTCTGTAATGTAGCTCCAACAATCTTTTCTTCGAAAAAAACAAAAGGAAAAAAGCACAAAGCGTTGATATGCAGATCGAAGACTATCATCAAATGAGACATGCACAATGCTTGTGTACGGTGAGGGAGCTAGGATTTCAAGCCAGGAGGACACCAAGCAATATATATACATATAAACATTGCCAAAAAAATAAAATAAAATAAAATTCAAATATGCACGTTAAAATAATGAATTTTAAAAAGTAAAAATTGAAAAAGGAAAAAGAAAAAATGTGAGGACTTTAAAAGGAAAAAGTTAAAAGTTTCAATTAAGGAAGGAAAATTTAATTTTTCTTAAAAGAAAATTTAAGGAATTTGAAAAATAAAAGAGAAAATAAAAAAATAATTTTAAAAATCACAAAATTTAGGGGGCATTATATAATTTTATATATATATATATATGTAAATATATTAAAAAATATTATATATTATAGAGGACAGGGCCAAGCCAGGCCAAGAGGGGCACATGCCCTTCCTGGCCTTGCATTGGCTCCGTCCCTACTCGTGGAGTCTACCATGCTCACTTTGGAGATTAGCATTTTCCTGCACCGTATTCGTTAATGCCCCGTTGATAAAAATATATAAAAAAAGGGTTACATAGCAAAATTCTAGTGCACTTTCATATATATATATATATATATATATATATATATATATTTTCCACTTCTAACAAAAGTTTTTGTATAACGATAAATAGTCACAGAACTGTTAGTTGTTGAAATCAGAACTGTTAGTTGTCAGTTGAAATTATCAAAATGTCCTTCCTTAAGTGATAAAAGGGTATTTTTGTCCTTTAAGTTGCAACAGTTACTTCAACGGCATTCTAGTCATTAACAACTTTGAGGCAGAGAGAAAAAGTAACCGATAAAAAAATTCAACTAGCTAGTCAAATATCCAGATACTTGGGAATCTAACAGATCACCCTTAAGCATGATGATCCAGATAGAAGCCTAATCATAAAAATAAAACCTCCAAAGCTTCAGACTTCAGTAATCATCTGAATCAAGTAGCATTTATTTTATACATGTCTGCGTATGTGTGGTATATATACATATATATTAATATATAGGTCATTACATAAATGCTGATTTAAGTATTCAACTGAGATTATCTATGCTTTGCTCCGAATTAGGTTGACCTCGTGATTAAATTAAGACGCTAAACAACAACTGATATCAAATCAACCTTCAATAAGTCTACTTTAATTAAGCTTAATATAAAGTATGACGAAACAGATACTAGAAAAGAAGAAAAAAAACTATATATAATTAATGTTATGAAACTATTTTGATCAGTACCCATGAATACGGAAGTCTATGCAATTTTATTGTTTAGACATGAGTTATAATAATTTCTACCTGTTTAATTAAGGAAAGACTAATGATTAATTATTTTATGTGGTACAATATATATATATATATATTAGACATGTTGACCTAATTCATATGCAATAATTTAGGAAATTTTTTCAAGTTGGTATAAAACCATGACAGCAGAATGCAATTAAATAAATCCCACATATATTCTAAATTTAGTGGTTTCTATATATTGCCAAACTACAACAATTATATATATATAGTTACTTAGCTGTGCAAGTAAACCTAAAAGATGATGCTTTACCATTGACAAATGAAGTCTAACCTGCTCCTGAGAAGATTTAACCATTATATTGAGATTATAATACTTAAAAAAAAATTATTGAAAGATTTAACCATTACATGCAAATTGATGACAATTTGTGTGTCTGTGTGTGTATAGGTCAATGAGTTAAATCTCACACAATGTCACAAACAATAAAAATATATATATATATATATATATATATATATATATATATATATCCACAAATGTTTCCATATAATATTTAATTTTTGAGACTATTGACTTGTAATGATTGGATAAAGATTATGTATAGAATTTGGTTTTGACATCCTATATTATTCATACAGTAAAAAGACGAGAATGATAATAATGATAATTATATAACATCGTTAAGAAAACGGTGTTTTATAATCAACCTTCGTGACTTATAGATATTTTCTTTCCTCTTAAAATGAAAGACAACAAGTTTGAGTCTCTTCAAAAATATTATCGAAGTTCTTTGCTCAGACAGTAAAAAAGAAAAGAAAGTAATAATGAATCATATGATAGCACTCATTTTAATTACTTTACATAAAATGGTCTATCATTTTGCTTTAACATTAAATTTGTAGTGATGCTAACTTAATTTATTGAAAATTTCAGATTTGACATGATTATAGAGTATTGCTTAATTTGAACATACTGATGGTGGCTTGCGTTGGCATGTTGCTGCATGCCAGTGGACATATAGCTGAGTCCTGATGTATACTATTATAATGTGTTAAAGAGTATTTTTATAATTAATGTTCTTGATCTCAACTCTAGCTGTTTTGCCAGGAAAAAAAATTATTTGTATATTACCCAAAAACAAAACTCTGGCGACTGGCGAGTATGTATTCTATTTTTACAGAGTTTTTCTCGAGTTAAATGATAGTTAGCATTAGCTCCGTTTATTTTGACGTAAAATACTTTTCTCAGAAAAGATTTTCTTTTTTCAGATAAAATATTTATTTTATTTTTTATTTTTTTTTTGTTTGACAAAGGTTTAGGTCGAGTCCATCGGGTGGAGTGTGTAAAATAACTCGTGAAAATTGATGAATAAGTTATTTTTGTTAGATTTTAATATATATATTTTTTGTAAATATTTTACGACAAAATCAAATATCAAAAAATACATAAAATACTTTACGCTCAAACAAATAGGGTCTTAGCACATGCACTCTCGTTTGGGGTGTAAAATATTTTATATTCAAACAAAGGGAACCTTTGTGTAAAATTGGAATGGATAGAATTGGTCGAACATCTGCACACTGGCTTAGAGAATTAGGCGCTCTACCAATTAAGCTAATACTCGAAATTGATCTAATTTCAAGACTCCAATTGCATACATATTTATTCAAATTTGTGAAGCAAGTAGAAGGTAGCCAACTTTGGAATTGTGAGAAAGTTAACCTTGCTTGAAGGTTACCTTGGCATTTCTATCTGGAAATATTTTATGTAACAAAGCATAATTATCATTAAAAAAAAATTAAATAAAAAAATAAATAAAACAGTTTTAAACTCTTGAAACACTCACCATATATCTAGATGATAGTATAAAATTCTAACACTTAGATTGCCAGGAGCAATCGATTAGGCCTTCTCAATGTTTTTTAATGTTTCGAGTGGAGTACACTTCAATGCATTCAAGAAAAATCTTATGTTACATTTAGTAATGTTTTGACACTTCAACGCATTCAAGAGTTTCCATTACCAAGTTTACCAATTCTTGAGCGAAAAAATATAAATATTCAACATATATGGTACTCCCTCCGTCTCTTATTAGTAGTCCATTTTTCTTTTTTTACATGTCCCAAATTAGTTGTCCTGTTTAAAAAGTCAAAGTATCTTTTCTTTATATTTCCATCATTGTCCTTTATCTTTTTATAAAATTTCAAACTTTATAATTATATATATTTAAATTGAAAAGAATAATTTGATAATTTTAAAAGGAGACAATATATTAATTTTATGTCCCCTTCAAAAGTTAAGGGGACATGAAATTAATCAATTTTAGTAACATTTATGCTAAAAGTTCAAAAATCAATCAAGGAATTTCAAATTCTCAAATTTGAGATATACCCATCTGATGTATTTTACCGATGATTGATCAATCACGTAAAATCAACGTATCAAAAGAAGCCCACACAGAGTTGCCCAACTTTACAATCCTGAGGGTAATATAGACTTTTTGTATTAATAAAAAGGACAAGCACATTATCACTAATTTGGATAAGGCTCATATACACACACACACACACACACACATATATATATATGACATAATATACACACCACAAGAGTGAAGCAGATAGAAATGGCTGAATCCAGTGTTCCCATGCCAGCTTTGGCCTCTCAGATATGCCATCAAATAAGCTCAGTTTTCACCCAATCCGATTCCACACCGCAAGCACTTGAAGTGATGGTAGAGGAAATCTCCGGTGCTGCGACTCGCAGAGGCCGAATCTTCGTGTACGGGGTGGGGCGTGAGGGTCTGATGATGAAAGGCCTCTGTATGAGGCTGTTCCATCTCGGCCTCTCCGCCCACTGCGTGTCGGACATGACAACTCCTCCCGTCTCCTCCCCGGACCTCCTTATCGTTTCTGCTGGACCCGGCGGCTTCTCCACCGTCAACGCCATATGTGGTGTCGCCCAATCCAACGGTGCACGGATTTTGTTGGTGACTGCTCAGCCCGAGTGTGGATCGTCTGTAGCATACGCCAGTGCAATTGCTTACTTGCCGGCAAAAACTATGGCCGATGATCATGATGATGGTGGAGGTGTTGGGTCAGGAGGAGGATCTCGGCCGTTGCTTCCAATGGGAAGTTTGTATGAAGGGGCTATGTTTGTGCTATTTGAGATGGTGATTTTCAGATTGGCTGAGGTTTTGGGTGAGAGTCCTGAGGCCATCCGGTCTCGCCACACCAACTTAGAGTGAACTGCTTATTTGATGAGAATTACTATGTATATGTACATGTATCTGTCTAAAATTAGACTACAAAAATTGAACTTCAATGCTTATTTAGGAAAAGTTCCAATTGAAGTTTCAAACTTGGAGGGCCTTTCTAGTTTAGCCCCCCAGAACTACCGGCAGTTTGCCTGTTGTTTGATATATTATGACACTAGATTGATTAACTTTCATGTTATACACTAGGGTTTGGAAACATTGAATCAGTGTCTTAAATTTGAAATCCAAAGAAATTTAATTCAAAATTTATACTATATTTTTTTCAATCCCAAATACAAGGGTCAATCCCAAACACAAGGGTCATGCGATGTTTAAATCAAAATTGTACTATATTTTCTTCAATCCTAAATTCAAGAGTCAATTCGGTAAGGCCAAACATAGCATTACAAACTTCTCGAATTGAATTTCAATCTCATTATTTATTCCAATTATCATCCATCCTTCCAATAAAAACCATAGTTCGCAGCAGCGGTATCACAGTATCGATCACGGTGCTATGGACTCGAGCAAATGTCGGTATAAACTGACAGAACTAGTCGATTCATGAAAATATATAATAATATCGGAGTCTTAAAAAATGGTTACAAAGTAACCCACCGATACATTGAACCACGGTTTCATGTTATACTTGCAAGATACATATATGGCACAGTACCTTGTGGACCTTCATGCAGCAACCATACTGAGCAAAATTTTGCCTTCAATTTGTGGCCTCTCAAACATCTCACCAAACAAAGAACCCCAAAGAGTCCAAAAAACAATCTCATTTTCACATTCAAGATTTTTCCTTGGAAGTTCTTTGTCTAACTGCTACAAATATCAATATTTCAGCAACAACAATCTTCTTGCAAGAATGAATCTTTTGGCAGGATCAGAGAGTGGTCCCAAACTCTCTCATCCGGATATACAGCTATCATCGATAATTCAAAATAGTGACTCAACTAGAAAGAAAAAAAAAATGGGTACGAGGCTACCTAGCATGATGTTTGATTTTCACCTACAGGAGCTAAAAATTTACTAGCATGATTTTTGGTATATCAAGCCTGTGCAAACACCGCATACAAAATTTACCAGCAAGCCAGTAGTTACCATCTATTCTTACACAGTCTCAATTGTTCAAGCTTATTTATTTTCTAACAGCACAACAGATAAAATACTACCCCCAAAAAATAAAGAAAAATAAATCTTTGAAAAAAAAAAAAAAAATTTGTTAAATGTGGGAACCTGAACAATGATCATATATATATATATGTGTGTGTGTGTGTGTGTGTATTCTTCCTAATTGTTACTCACACACGTCTCTTCTAAAACTTTTGTCCTAACCTCCCTTTGGGAGGTAAGATACTGATACCGCTAGGCCATTGGCCTGTTGGTAATGATCATATACTCATATTAGCCAAGCAAAGAAGTCCGGTAGCAGCCACTTCAAAAAAACCCAATCTGATTTCAACATTCTAACCAAAAAAAAAATCTGCCAAAATTTTTGGGAGAATTTTCCCAGTAACAGGCCAACAGAGCAAAAGTAAAGCCAAGGAACTCACAACAGGAGTACAATATAACACCAACAGGAGAGGAAATCATACGGCTATCCACAGTCCCATGTTGTAGGGAACCTTACAGCGAAGACTATCCCTGGCTATCTGCTCCATTCAAAGTCTGATGATCTGGGATTTGCATTATTCGTACGGCTTGTATTTTCTGGCTTTATAGAATTTGCAAAGTTGTGCCAACCTAATAGGTATGGCACGATGAACTGCAGAGAACAAGTCGAACTATATAAGACAAGGCAATAATGTTGGATCCACATAAACAATATTGATAATAAGGACGAGTTAATTGCATAAAACTCCGCTACAAAAAATTTGTACATTTGTACAAAAAATTTAGCAGATATCCACCCTAGAAGACAATATTGTGCAAGACACCCCTTTTACATCAAGATACCGTTAAAAAGTAAATGGTCAAAGCATGAAAAACCCAATTTCCCTTTTTTGGATTAATTTCATCAAACCACATGAGCTATAAGAAATTTGCATATTACTCCTTGTTACAGAGGAACATGAAAAGTTCTTCCAGTTCAAGGGGTTTTTATGCATCAACCTTAAGGGAAATTTAGTAATTTTCTAGACACATTTAGGGGCAACCTAACAGCGGTTAGAATGTTGACTTTATTTGCAAATTTTCAGTAGTTCATGGGGTTACCTTTATTCCTGGAGTAACATGCAAATTTTTTATAGTTCAAGGAGTTTTGTGCAATTAACTTTAACAATGATCAAGGAGAATGCAATTCTTAATGCATTAAAAAGAACTTATTCTTAAAAGAATTTGTAACATACATTGAATGCTGAGATGAGGATTGCGAACTCTGCTTTGGAAACAGGGATGTAAATGCTCTCATCCAAATTTAGTAGCTTGTTTTGAACACCTTCAATATATCCAACAGCAACACATCAAATGTTACATGAGAAGTAAAATCTCTCTAAACATTACGACAATATTTTGAGAAAAGAGAGTATTACTGAGATTAAAGAAATGGCCAGAGCCATCTGGAAGGGGCTCCACCTTCAACACCTTCCTCACCTTACCTTCGTCACTGCAGAATAAGAACAACAAACTTGATTTCTTGAAATGACAAAACAAGGAGGAAAATGCTATATGAGGGCTCTCTCACATGAACTTATCCCCTCAAACATTGGATCAGGAGCGTTATGACAACTGTTAAGGTTGCAAGCTCATAGTGACATCACCTAATGATTTTCTAAACAATAATACTATAGCATGAAGTTTCACTTTTTAGATAGACGTAAACAGTAACCAATACCATGAATCCATCTATCAACATATATCCAAGTTCGGAAACATATGAGCATGCCACGTTTAACAAGCATTCTAAAAATCTTGGGGTTGCCAAGTCAAAAAGTCTCCTGTAAGATGGGTAGATGCAACCATGAAGCAACAATATGTATGTCGTAAACTAATGAACTCCAAACAGATTCAACAGACTAAGTATAAGTAAGACCCTCTAATTTCAATATATAGATCCCTGGTAAACATCTTATTTAAATGTATCCAAGGTTTTTAGTGTCAAAGAAATTAAGAAATCCAACTGCAATTTTAAGAATAAAATCCCTTAGACTTGGCCAACAACAAGAAGTTTACTGAAAGAGTTCAACCCAAGGACCACCGACAATGTGAGAGATGCTAAAACCGCACACCAGTTGAGGATTTTCTAAAAACCAGCAAGCTTCTGAAAGAGGTAAAGTCAACTACTATAGTATTAATGCCAAAGGTTTCAAACGCCTCATATCTCTTGTGGCAACATTTTGTACAATATCATTTCCAAGGTTTCGGCTAAATGGTTGATTTCAGCAGGTTTCACCCAGTGTGATTTCAAGATTTTGTGGGAACAAGAAGGATCTAGCTACCAATGGGCATTAGCTTAAATGGTATGAGCTCTACTCCCCGAAGGGGAGGTTGAGTATCTGACACCTGCTAGGGGCAATATTGTAGATGTGGGAAAGAAGCTGCATACCCTTAAGAAAGTGGATTTATGAATTTGATTGAATTGATCTCGACGCTTTGAGTGTTTGCTTAAACTTTTAAAAAAATTTATATATAAAAAAATTTAAATAAATGAAGAAGGATCTAGCTCAAGAATTGTTGAGGACCTACAACAAGGATATTGGGAAGCCTGGGATTACTTTAAAAGTGGACTTAGCAAAGACTTATGATAACATTAATTCATACTTTATCCTCAGTACAATGAGATTGATGAACTTCCCTGAAACTCATTTCCCGGACTCAGACTTGCATTACAAGTTACAACAGCAATGTTTTTTGTTTCCTTGAACAGAGAGCTGGTTTGTTACTTCAAAGTGTTAAAGGGCTTAGGCAAGGGGACCCCTTGTCCCCTTACCTATTCATATTGGGCATGGAAGTATTACAACAGGTTATCGCTTGTAAATTTCAACAAGAAAGTGAGTTTCAGCTTCTCTGGAGGTGTAAGAAGATCCATCTTACAAATCTCTGCTCTCCAGATTATTTATTGCAATTCTGCCATGGGGGTTCAAAGTCTGATTCCATCCTTTATATTGCTTTGTAATAATTTTTTCAGTAATCGGGCCTCGCCGCTAATTCTTTAAGAACTCATGTGTTCTTGTCTCAGCCGAATGTCATAAGATCACCTCTGATCTTGGATTCTAGGTTGGATCTCCTCCTGTGAGGTACCTTGCTGTTCCTCTTATCTCCTAAATTGGGGGATTTCGACTGCAAAGTGTTAGTTGATAAAGTCACTGAAAAAGTCAAGTAAGGAACTAATAGGACTCTTTCTTATGCTGGGAGACTTCGGCTTGATAATTCTGTCATGCAATATGCAAATATATTGGGTACCTTCTTTTGTCCTCCCTAAGAAGAGTGTTTGCAAGTATTAACCAGTTGGTTAGAGGTCTGGTGCAGAATTAAGCAATGTAAATCTAAGGTAGCTTGGGAAGAGATTACTAAATCAAAGCAAGAAGAAGGTTAGGGATTAAAAAATTAGAAGAATGGAATAGAGTTCTTGAGAGTAGACACAATTAGTATCCTTTTAAGTGATAAAGGTGATCCAGTATGGGTGGAATGGGTTAAGAACTATCTTGTGAAAGGAAGAAGTTTTTGGGCTATAAAAGCTGTTTTTGGGCTATAAAAGGTTTGTGGGCTCAGAGGAGTTTATTACAGATTTGAGACCAAGTTAGACCTCTAATTAAAGTTCAAATCAGAAGTGGTTCCAATACCTCTATATGGTATGATAATCAACATAATTTTGAGTCCACTGCATCCAAACCTTCATATAATTTTTTTTTTTTTTTGTAAGTAAAATTTCATTAAAGAAGTGATCAAAGGAGAGCTAGCCCAAAGAACAACTGCACAAGAGGCCGACTATACTCTCAAACTATCCACAAAGTCCCTTCAAGGATTCACAATACCACCCATTAACTCGAAAAAATAGAAAACTCAGGATGGAGTGTTCTAACACCCAAATAAGAATCTTCTCTCCATCAAAGGACCTCCTATTCCTCTCTCTCCACAAACTCCACCACAAGCAAAGGAGGGTCTGAGACTTGATTACCCACTTTACAACCTCTCCAAACCTTAAGCATGCCCATCCTAGAACACCAAATAGAACAAAAAAGACATGGCCCTTCATATAAATTTACCAACAAATACTAAATCCAAGGTTACAGACATAATGGAACCATCTACTCAGACCTGGAAGTGGCTTGAGGATATCTTGATTCAGTGTAGCAATGTTACTGGGAATATGCCTTCCTATCTTACTATTTCTGGAGACGATTTGACTATATGGGCTGGTTCTCCTTCAGGAATTTATTCGGCGGATTCTTTAAGGAAGAAGGCAACAAAAGTCCCTCGGTATAATCTGGTCTGAGGCCATAAGACTATTCCCAGACAAGTTCTCTTATGGTGTAGTTCACCAAAAGTTGAATACCTTGGATTAAGATTCACAGATACAATCCTTGCTGTGAGCCTTACTGTCATTTATGCAGTTCTTCTGAAAAAACTCAACCATCTATTATTCTCTTGTGCCCTCTCCTTCAATATCTGGAGCCACATAATATCAAAATGTGGTTATTCAGCTCAATACTCTCATCTTGGCCTGAGACTTTAACTGATTTGACTAGAAAATGGAATGGGAAATGCTTGCTAAAAAGAATTGGGAAACTTTGGTTTTGCTGCTTCTGTTTATCAAATTTGGAAGGAAAGGAATAATAGAAGATTCCTTCATAAGGCTAGGTCTAGCACTGTCATTCAATAGGACATTGTTTTTCAGTGAGAACCAAACTGTTGTCTTCCATATTAACCGTGAAGCCAAAGCATCAAAACATATGGCCAGTTAGCCAGTGGGATATTACAGAAGCAGTGAATTTCACTTAAAAGCGTTTAAGGGCTGGTTTGGTTCATTAGTAATTCGATTCAAGGTTTCCGGTGTTTAGTGCTTGCTGAATATTCCACTAATGTAGTGACGGCTTCTGCTTATGATGGTTTCCTCTGGAGTGTTTATTGCTGATTGGCTTCTTTCTTGCTGCAGATAAGATCATATGCAGGTTTCCTCTGCTATTCTGTTTCATTTGTTGTTGGGTTTGCTGGTCTGTTTGAATTTGCTTTGTCTTTTTCTTGTGGGCTGTTGTTTGCTTGGTTTTCTATAGTTTGGCTAGGTAAAGGAGGTTGCTTTCTCTTTGCTTTCTTCTTGTATTGTTTTTTTGTTTCTTATTGAAATCTAACTTGCAGGAAAATTAAAATAAATAAAAGATGATCCTAACCATCTCGCAAAAAAAAGATCTATGAGCATATCTACAAGATTTTTATGCTTTAAGTAAAATAAAACAAAAAACACTAAAGTTCCAAAAATATCTCAGATGACTGATCAGATGGACCTGATAGCTTAGATCTGAAAAATTACCATCAGACCGTGTCATTCTTAACTGGCCTTAACGGTATATGCACATTCTCAACTCCATATCAACTCAGCCTCTAACATAAATTCTGGGAGCCTCAGAAGAAAAAACAAGCTTAAGGGGAAACATGTTTTTATTACTTGATAGTCGTTATGCAACAGTTAGCAGCTAATACCATTACGAAACCACTGACACCCATTATAGATCAACCAAAATCATTATATAACATTGATACCCATTACATAACAGCCATTATGTATACCAATTTATTGGTGCGTTGGTACCTCTCCAAATCGGTATATAATGGTTGATACTTGATACCCAAAAAGGAATCTCAGTTATTTTAAACAAGTATCCACATATTGAAAAATCATGCTCAGTGTGTATCCATTGTAACTCATTATGAAATTATTAAGTAGTAAGACCTTGAAAGTTCTCCTTATGACTTATGAGTCTAATTAATGATTAGGGCACGTTTAATGATTATGACTGATTTAAAAGAACTGATAATTTAAGTAGGATTTGTTAAAAGCATAGGCAAAAACTTGAAGATACACAGTTCATGACTTCGTATAATCATAAAAAACATATGATGGCCAAAAGGAAACGTGATGTTCAAAATTCCTATGCAAATTGGCTCATTTGGAACATGGAACCAGAAGCATGTTTGGTCATACAAGTTTATGTTAGAAAAAAAACTGAAAAAAGTTCAAAAAATTTCTGAGAATTACTGAAAAGGCGATCCAATTACATAGACCACCCTTTTTAGTTCTCTACAAACTTTTTTCTCCTTCCAAAGTTCTTGAAAACTGTTTTTAGAGAACTGAAACAAACAGGTGCTATATTGCTCCATATAAAGTTTATCAAAAAGATGATACTAGTACCTTCTCCCTTTATTAGGGTCATGAAAAAATTCGCATGCATCCCTTGCACCAAGACTAATTAGAGTTCCAATTTCAGTCATTGACAATGAAAATACCTGAAAAGTTGCAGAAATAAAACAAAATTTAAGTTCATTTTGGTTTCTCATATCCAAGTCAAAACCCCAAGGGCTGGCAAACTCAACTCCCATTCCCTCGCCCCCACAAATCAAAGATAAAATAAAATAGATACAATATAATAAAACAGAACCCAATCTTCATGCAGCTTAGTTTACCATATTGAACTTTGGAAGGTAAAAATTTTAGTTTGGTCTACCCCTCGTATACTTTCATTGTAAGGCAAAAATTTAAGTTCGGTCTACCTCATATATATTTTCACTGAAGCTACAGGCATTGCCATTAACAATAGAACAATTTTATGATTGTATTACTGGCATAATGTTAAGCCAGCAACCATATAAACCCCAGAAAGGCCCAATAGCATAAAATCTGATAATGCATACTGTGACCGAGAACTCATGAAAAGCTTGGGCCTCAGCTCATTAAGTAACTAATTCAAGCTTGTTCGCCAATTAATAAACCTAGCTTGAAGGTATGTCCCAAGTTGGTTGCTTAATAAACTAACCTTGAACAACACCAAGCACATCTCTCATTTAGGCTAGTAAACAGTTGTATAAATGTTGCATAGTTGTAGTTATTAGGTCCTTTGTGAAACTTAAACAAAATATAGTAAAAACAAGTGTTGATGATGTAGGACAGTTTTAGTAGGTTTATATTATTTTTATTTATATATATATATTTAATTTTAGGAATTTAAATTTTAGGTTTTTAATTTCCTTTTAACATTAGTTTCTTTATATTTTTAGTTTACTTAATTAATTTGTTTCCTTTTTGTTTTTAATTTCCTTCTAGTATGTTTTCTTTCATTATAAATATATGTAATGGAGAGAGCAAAATATTAAATTAAATTTATCAATAATATTTTAATTGCTTTGCAATTTTTATTCAACTTTGTGGATTCAAAGTTACCACCTTGTGGATCGCTTTCGCTTACATTAGTTAGTATCAGAGCCTTCGTTTTGGCAGCAACCGCTCTCACGACGTTGATCGGGGAGTGCAAACCCCTTGGGCAGCCATGCATACTCAAGATCGGTTTGTAGCAACTCGTTTTGGAATTGGTGGCAACCAAGTTCGTGGTTCAATTCGAGTTCGCGCTGATGATGTGTCTCGCAGCCTACCAAATATGGGTTATATTTCTGTATATCCATGTAGGTCTCCAGCCTAGCGGATGATTCCGGTGATGAAGAGTACAGATTCAGAGGGAGACGCAACAAAAACTACAAATATTAGGCCAGTAGTAAGTTTGAGAAAAAACTTGATTTACTTACTTTTACTTCTAGCTGAGAATGTCTTGGATTGGCTTAATGAAATTGAATACTTTCTCAAGCATTTTGACATACTTGAGCACAAGCAAGTTCCTCCTGTAGCAATCGTGCTTAAGAAAGGTGCTTCGGCTTGGTGGGAACAAGTAAAAACTAATCAGAGGTGGCAAGGAAAACAACCTGTACAATCATGGTCAAAGATGAAAAGGTTGTTAATTGCTAAATTTTTACCACCAAGTTATCAGATGTTGTATCACCAATATCCAGATTGCTGGAACAAGAGTTTGTCTGTCAATGAAGAATTTTTCTATGAAGGCAGTGCTATCAAGAATCACGATAATTTTGTAGAAGCAATCAATAATTTTCAAGAGGTTGATTGTAAGCAAAATTGTGTTGCAACACCTCTTACAATTGAAGTTGATGCCGTCAAAGAATTCAACGCACTCAAAGAAGACGATAATGACAAGAAATTTGTGGCTGAAAGTGAGCAACATGAATTAGTTGATGATCGGATGAATAAGATTTTCAAATTAGATGTCCAAGACGATATGGAGGGTAGCCAAGCTTCAGATTTTAGTTTAATTAAGGACCAACCACGAGTTCATGTGATAGTGATACAAAGAGATTTGAGTGAATTGGACAAAATTGATGGTGAACAGCCACTGAACAAATTTGATGGTGAACAGCCACCTGATGGTTCCTTGAAGCAAACTGAATTGGGTGCACAAGTTACGGTTAGTCACTGCTTGAAGAAAAAGAGTCTATTAAAGGTGTGCAATACAAGACAAAACAATGGTGAACATGTGACGGCTAAAAGACCTTTTACCATTACATGTGATAACAACTTATGGGCCTTTAAACTTTACAAGCCTATTCCTTGTTTGGTTAATGTACTTGGTCCAAAGGTGTCTTCCATGAATTTGGTTAAGAGACTGGCAATTAAAGTTAACAACATGAAAGATGTCTTGCGGAATTCTACAAAGTACAAATTTTTGGCTACCATGACAAAAGAAGTTTATGAAGGACTAAGGTGGTATAAAATGTTATTCACTGAAACTCGAGAACAAGTTTTTTTTAAAGTGGAGGAGACTGATATAGGACAGTTTTAGTAGGTTTATATTATTTTTATTTTTATTTTAGGAAGTTTAATTTTAGGTTTTTAATTCCCTTTTTTAACATTAGTTTCTTTATATTTTTAGTTTAATCAATTAATTTGTTTCCTTTTTGTTTTTAGTTTCCTTCTAGTATTAGATTTTCTTTCATTATAAAATGATACTCTGTCCGATCAAATTGGCCTCCTCCTAGTCCGAATCTTTCTTACGTGTAATTATCATGTAATTACCTAAATCGTTATATTTACTTTGCGCGCTAAATATACCAAAAATAAATTAAATAAATAAATATGGAAAGAAGCTAAAGAGGTTTTGACGACCCCTCTCCATCTCTTTGATTTCTTCAGAGTGGTATCTTCGTTCTGCTGCTTATTTCATTCTCTCTCTCTCCAACTCACGGTGAAACAAAACATTATTCTCATTCAAAAATTTAAAGTTGGAGGCATGATTTGGAAAATGTTAATGTTGAGATATGTGAAGAGGTTGAGAATGGGACTCATCCATTATATTCTTGGTTGGAGTCATCTTCTTCTTGGCAATAAAGAACTACTTTCAAGTTAAATTGGAAATCTATAATGTACAAATGAAATATGAAAATTCCATTAAGGCTTAGATTTAGATATAGTATCTATGTTGCTTTATGACTACAAACAGTTGAACTTCTATGATTGAATTGTTGGTGTTTGGTAATGTTTTTGTTTTCAAATCTTTCTTTTTGTTAAACCTTGAAAGACTAATAAATGGATCAATATGATTTATGTTAAAAAGTTAATGTTTTCATTGTCTTCAACTTTTCGTTATATATTTGTAAATAATAAGTATAATGGAAATAGAATTAATGAATGATTCGGGATGCCAACAATTATATCCTCTGATAAAGGTGAGTTGTGTTCATCCAAGTGATTATATTCAACATTACTTTTTGCTTATATGTGATTTGCTAAAAGAGTAGCCCATATATCATCCACTTCGAAATGAACTTTTTTCTTTTTCTTTTTTTTTTTTTTTTTTTTTTTTTTTTTTTTTTTTTCTAATCAAATCCCCAAAACTGATACAATATACAAAAGCCAAAAAAAAAAAAAAATTTAATAGAAAAACATGAATATATACCTTCAATCTTATTAAGGTTTGTTTTTTTTCTCTTCAAGCAAACATATACATTTATATGTATTTTCTCCTTTGATTTTATGAACCAATAAAGACTTCTCAATCCTTTGTTTTCCCTTCAATTTTGCAAAGTGAAAAAGAGAGAACCGTGAGTCAGAGAAAGAAAGAATGAAAGAAGCAGTAGAACGATGATACCATTGTGGAGAAATCAGAGAGATAGAAAGGGGTCATCAAAACCTCTTCAACTTATTTTTTAATTTATTTTTGGTATCTTTAGCTCGCAGAGTAAATATAACCATTTAATTAATTACGTGGCAATTAATATAGCAATTACACGAAGGATTCGGACTAGGAGTAGGCCAATTTGATCAGACAGAGTATCATTACTCATATAAGTAATGGAGAGAGCAGAATATTAAATCAATTTTATCAATAATATTTTAATTGCTTTGCAATTTTTATTCAACTTGGTGGATTCAAAGTTACCACCTTGTGGATTCAAGGTAATCCTAGATTGCTTCCGCTTACGTCAGTTGACAAATATAAAGCAATTAAATCATAAGAAAAAGTTAAAAATAATACTTTTGAAGTGTATTACAAACATGTAAGTTCCTATTTGTATTAATCATTTTAAATGTGCTAGAACCTAATGTAGAATTGACTATAAATATTCTACATAATTCAATATCCTTTGGCACAAAACTTATGGTTCGGCAGAATATAAATGAACCAAACTCAAACCCTCTCTAAGCTTGGTTGAAAACACCAATATACCAACTTGGATCAAAATTCTAATATACCTAGCAGTCCGAGCTCCAAAGTCCCACGGATTAAATTAGCTCATTTCGGGCCTAATGCAAGCAAACACACCCACATTCCCTAAATTCATAGAAAAACAAAAAACAAAACCAAAAAACAGATATTACCTGCTTTCGGTTCCAGTCATATTGACGAACACCAGAAGCAGGAGCAAACTGAAGCATCACATAACCTTCCCTGGACAGCTTATACGCCCCTGACTATAAACACAAACCAATCGAATCCAATCAAGCCAAAACAAATCAAATCACCATACTTCACAAACAATCCAAAATACACTATGAATCAGCCATACAAAATTCAGAACCGTGTTCTTACAGTGAACAGACAATGAATCAAAACATACATCTAAAGGCGTGAACTCTGGAGGCCGTGGCTCCACCGTAAGAGCTGCCTTCCCTTTGTATATCGAGTGACCAACAAAAACCCTAGGGGCTGCACAATGAAACAAAGAAAAATTAATTTCTTTTCATTCGCCCTCCGTTTGGTCACTGGGAAAATGAGAAGGGAAAGTAACCTGATTGGGGAGCGAAGGAAGAGTCAGCTGGGGCGAGTCTCTGTTGCTGTTGTTCGTAGTATTCAGAGTGTCGGCATTTCAAGGAGAGTCCTTGGGTTGAAGGTTTGGCTGTAGAGTGAGAAAGGGGTTTGACATTGAAGCGAGTGAAGTTGTGGGAAGAGAGAGAGTAGTGAGAGAAGAGTTTACTAGGGTTTTGGATGGTGAGTCCTGGCGAAGAAGATGTGAGGCTGTTCATTTTTTGAAAATCTAATGTGGGGTTGAAATCTATCGTGGGATTAGCCTATAAACCCGTATTCGGTTTTGTATCTTTTGTCATTCCCATGGACCAAATACCTGTGATTCGTCGGATGTTATACTTATAAGTTGTAAGCAATCAAATATAATTATTACAATTTTACCTATAAAAAAATATATATAATTATTACAATTAAATAGTAGGAAAATATTGATGAATATATAATTTGTTTAATGAGTTTCAAGGAAGAATATATTGTTATTTTAGGGTTCTTTTTGACATTTCAAAAATTAATATTGGTGTATGAAAAATATCATAAAGAAGAGATGGGTTACCTATTTTGTGATAAGATGCCTCTCAATCAATGGTCCAAGGTGTAGAAGATGAAGTATCGAGACACGTATTACTTGAAGGTGGAGGAGGGCTAATTTGCACTCTCACGCTTTGTTGGGGATAATTAACTCCCTCCAACCCACTCAACGGTCGGCTGTTGTTAAAAGTTAAATCCCTTTTTCACCACATACAGCGGAAGTATCATCACATCACATTAACACAAGCATATATAGAGATAACAATCATACACATTCACGCACAACACAATATTTTATATGGTTCACCCAACTCTAGGGTTACGTCCATAGGAGAGAGAAATTTGCACTATTATAAATCAAGGAAGAGATATACAACCACATGTCAAAATCCCACTCACTCACTCATTATCTCTTTTGAGGCTACATGTATACACTCGGGAATTACATATACTCTCCATTCTCCTCACAACACTCATCCTTAAACCCCTTACATCTTTTCTCTCTTATCTCTCTCCTCTCTAAACCCCTCATACCCATCTCTATTTATAGAGTCTTCAAAACTCAATTCTTTGTTGGATAAGTATTCCTCAAATCCAATTCTTTGTTAGATAAGGATCAACTTACCTATAAGGAGTTACCATATCCATCTTCAACTCTAAAATAACAGGTATAACTTCTTTCCCAAATCTTCAGCCTTTTTCCCCAAGTCTTCTGGATTCCAAAACCAATCAGGAAACTATTTCTCGTAACTTCCAAAACGAAAAAGGAAACTAATTTTCTGCACACAAATTTTGAGCTACAAACCCATCAATCTCCACTTGGCTCAAAATTCAATCTTCACGTGCTTTTCCATAGCTCCATCTCGAACAAGGATCTCTTCATATCTTCACCTCAAATAAAGCACTATGATGAACTTGAGAAACACTCTAACAATCTCCACCTTTTTCTCAAATTCATCATTCTTCTTTTCTTTATCTTCTCTATCCATCTCATTGGTGTTCAATTGCTTACGCATGGCAACCCACCAATCTTCAACTCATCTTCATCAATTGTTTTTCTGGCTTAAAGCAACAAACATCTCCTCGTCATATTCCCCTTTACTCTTTATCGGGCTTAGAGCAAACCCCTTCATTCTTCACACCCGTTGCCCTATCTTGAGAACTAGCACTCACTCTTGACTTGTCCTCAAAACTTGTTCCTCGTGGGCTTCACCTTTATCACCTTTTCCCCATCTTGAAAACGAGCATCCTCTAGCTTGTCACAAGACTTGTTCCTCATGGGCTTCACGCCATCACCTTCTTCATACCTTCGTGTCATCATCAACTTTGATTGAATCTCCATAGCACCTCACTATCATCCTCTGCTCTGACAAACTTCGCAGCAAACTTCTTCTACTAATCTTCAGGCCCAATCACAGGCTCTGACCCACTATTGGCTCTGATACCAGTTGTTGGGGATAATTAACTCCCTCCAACTTACTCAACGGTCGGCTGTTGTTGAGAGTTAAATCCCTCATTCATCACACACAGCAGAAGCATCATCACATCACATTAACACAAGTATATATAGAGATAACAATCATACACATCCACGCACAACACAATATTTTACATGGTTCACCCAACTCTAGGGTTACGTCCATGGGAGAGAGAAATTTGCATTATTATGAATTAAGGAAGAGAATATACAACCACATGTCAAAACCCCACTCATTCACTCATTATCTCTTTTAAGGCTACACCCTCTCCTCACAACACTCATCCTTAAACCCCTTACATCTTTTTTCTCTTCTCTCTTTCTCTCTCTAAACCCCTCATACCCATCTCTATTTATAGAGTCTTCAAAACTCAATTCCTTGTTGGACAAGTATTCTTCAAATCCAATTCTTTGTTAGACAAGGATCAACTTACCTACAAGGAGTTACCATATCCATCTTTAACTCTAAAATAGCAGGTATAACTTCTTTCCTAAATCTTCATCCTTTTCCCCAAGTCTTCTGGATTGCAAAACCAATCAGGAAACTGTTTCTCACAACTTCTAAAACGAAAAAGGAAACTAATTTTCTACATACAAATTTTGAGCCACAAACCCAACAATCTCCACCTTGGCTCAAAATTCAATCTTCACGTACTTTTCCATAACTCCACCTTGAACAAGGATCTCTTCATATCTCCACCTCAAATAAAGCACTATGATGAACTTGAGAAACACTCTAACAATCTCCACATTTTCTCAAATTCATCATTCTTCTTTTCTTTATCTTCTCTATCCATCTCATTGGTGTTCAATTGCTCACGCATGGCAACCCACCAATCTTCAACTCATCTTCATCAATTGCTTTTCTGGCTTAAAGCAACAAACCTCTCCTCTTCATATTCCCCTTTGCTCTTTATCGGGCTTAGAGCAAATCCCTTCATTCTTCACACCCCTTGCCCCATCTTGAGAACTAGCACTTACTCTTGACTTGTCCTCAAAACTTGTTCCTCGTGGGCTTCACCTCTATCTCCTTTGCCCCATCTTGAAAACGAGCATCCTCTGGCTTGTCACAAGACTTGTTCCTCATGGGCTTCACGCCATCACCTTCTTTATACCTTCATGTCATCATTAGCTTTGATTGAATCTCCATAGCACCTCACTATCAGGCTCTGACCTACCATTGGCTCTGATACCAGTTGTTGGGGATAATTAACTCCCTCCAACCCACTCAACAGTCGGCTGTTGTTAAGAGTTAAATCCCTCCTTTATCACACACAGCGAAAGCATCATCACATCATATTAATACAAGCATATATAGAGATAACAATCATACACATCCACGCACAATACAATATTTTACATGGTTCACCCAACTCTAGGGTTACGTCCATGGGAGAGAGAAATTTCACTATTATGAATTAAGGAAGAGAATATACAACCAAATGTCAAAACCCCACTCACTTACTCATTATCTCTTTTGAGGCTACATGTATACACTCGAGAATTACATATACTCTCCCCTCTCCTCACAACATTCATCCTTAAACCCCTTACATCTTTTCTCTCTTCTCTCTGTCTCTCTAAACCCCTCATACCCATCTCTATTTCTAGAGTCTTCAAAACTCAATTCCTTGGTGGACAAGTATTCCTCAAATCCAATTCTTTGTTGGACAAGGATCAACTTACCTATAAGGAGTTACCATATCCATCTTCAACTCTAAAATAGCAGTTATAACTTATTTCCCAAATCTTCAGCCTTTTTCCCCAAGTCTTCTGGATTCCAAAAACCAATCAAGAAACTGTTTCTCACAACTTCCAAAACGAAAAAGGAAATTAATTTTCTGCACACAAATTTTAAGCCACAAACCCAACAATCTCCACCTTGGCTCAAAATTCAATCTTCACGTGCTTCTCCATAGCTCCACCTCGAACAAGGATCTCTTTATATCTCCACCTCAAATAAAGCACTATGATGAACTTGAGAAACACTCTAACATGCTTAACCAGAGAATAATCATATTCGGCTTTGGAGAGAACTACTTGTTCATTCGCAGGAGTGGGAATAGTCTCCTCCGAAATCGAAGCTTGATTAGCCTAAGTTGGCTTGCCATGAAGAGCCCAACAAAAGTCAACATAGGGATTGTTTTGGCCATAATGAGTACACTTCTTGTTGCCACGACCCCCTCTGTTGCCACAAGTACCATAGCTTGGGTTGGAAAGACCTCTGCCCCCTCGTCCTCCACGGAAAGTATTATGTCGCCCAGTAGGAACAACAAGACCAGAGTGGTTGTCCTTCTCAATTATAGGGGCATGAATAGATACTCTTCAAACTTAAGCAAAAGTCTTACTTGTTGTGGTTGTCTCCTTTCTCCTTACCATACAAAATATACGAATTGATTAGAGGGAGTTCCCTGAAACTCCTCTATGGGCCTTTCTTTTTCTTCTTCTTCTTCTTTTTATTTTTTATTTTTTATTTATGTATGTAGTCACAGGTTGGTAGACATTCAATTCCTCCCACATGCTTTTCAGTTTTGAGTAATAATCTCAACAGAACGATCTCCCTGTTGGAGATTGATGAGCGCTGAAAAGTGCGTATTTAAACCCCTTAAGCTTAGGTATTCTAGAACCTTTATCTATCTTACTTTACCATTTTAGATTGATTTCGTGTTATTTTCATTTTAAGGTACTTATCTCAAAAATAAGCTAACTCAGCCAAATAAGAGCAGAAATGAAGCAATTATTGGATGAATCAAAGAAAGGAGTCAAGTGGAAGCAAAAGGAAGCAAAAGATGGAATTCAACATCTTCGATCGATCTCAGATCAAAGTTTGATCAATCCAACATGATCGATCTCAGCACTTCAAGATGGATCTGAGCCATGATGACATTTTCAGAGATCTTAAAAGTTCGATCGATCCAACATCATTCTTCGATCGATTGAACTACCTTGTCCTTATCCAAATGATTGATTTTATCCAATTGTACCACCCTACCAACCACTTTTGTCCTTTTCCCAAAAATATCTTAGATTTGTTTTTATCCAAAAAGGCGTCGCCATTGAGGATCGATCCAACTTTAGTTCGATAGATCTCAGCTATGTTCGATCGATCCAAGTCCAAGGTTCGATCGATCGAACTTTCTCCAGTGCGAAAAAGTTAAATTTCCAGCTCATTGAAAGCTGTCCTTATCCAATCATTGGGGAATATTTTGTACATGACCCCAACTTATTTTGTGTGTCACTTGACCTACTTATATATAGAATATAATACACTTTTTGAGGG